ATGACAAAACATTACCCCAGAGCAATTTACTGTATAGCTGCAACAGTGCAGCTGCTAAATGTACTCCCTGAATATTTACTTCCAGTTCTGATCGTATAGATTTGGCTTCATCTTCGAAAGGCATGGCTTCATAGTTTTCTGGAGAATGCAAGATAGAAAGATTCACCTTACAGGAAAGGTTTCCAAGTTTGCTCTGCAAATTGATGTAGAAATGTTAAAATAGAGCCAGACATAATTGAAACTGTCTTGGAAACACGGAGGGTTGTGAGTTTCTTTGTTTGTTTGTTTTGTTTTAATGTTTTTTAAAATATTTGGGTTTTGTTTGTTTGTTTTTCAAAATACACTTTTCATAGAAGGAAGTAGATTCTGCAGTGGGCACACATACACCCATGCACCGTCCCCAAAATCACGTGGATCCAGGCAGAACTAATGCTGCTTAGAGGAACTTCATGGGAGGAGAAATCTCGTTGCTGAAAGATCTGTAATGCAAAAGCCATTCATCATGAAGATGAAAGTGAAAAAAAGCCCACACAATGATATGTAAATATATTCAGATATTTGTGAACACTAAATCATAAACTCCAAGGGGGTGTCAGTATATGACATTGCCATTGTGTTCTGTCTGAGGTTGGAAGCTGGATAACCCTGTGGACTGTAACGCTCAGTGAGGATAGATTACACCAGTAGAGAAATGCCACTTGCTGAAGGGCTTGGTAATGCAGCATCTGTATGTTCCTCCTCTACAATCTTTTTAAATTGTGTAGAGATTGTCTAGAGAACCTGTGTGGTGTAAACACTTGTACTGTCACTAAGAAGGATGCTTGCAAGTATATTCTTAAAAAATATGTGTATAATCATTATACCATTTTCACCATATCTTGTAGTAGGGGTTGACTGAAATCCATAGCTCCTGGAAAAGGAGACACCTGCCTTCTGCATCACTGAATGACAGCTACTCTACATAATTTCTGGGCAAGTGAATAGCCTTTGAAGGCAAGAGATCTTACTTTGGTAAGATCTCCAGATAATTGCAGGTGGCAGGACTGGAACCGGACACGATTCAAAGTATGAAGGACTTTTGTATTATACCACACTCCTTTTTATGCCTCTTTTATACTGTAAAAACCTGTAACCATAATATATATATATTGATATGGTGTTACACCAACAGCATAATGTAAAGAGACTTTAGTGAAACTCAGACAAAATTTGTTGAGTAGCAACTGGACCTACATAGATTTTCTCATTTGTGAAAAAGTTGTTCAATATTGGACATCGTGAGGCTAACTATTATCTTTTTTTGCTCAGTGTTTGAATGTGAAGTCCTCAGGAAACAACCGTATGATTTTGGATTTCATATTTTTAGACAAAATATGTCTTTGAAGAAAAGTAGTCTTCATGAAATTTTTCCTAGTCTCTTCAAAGCACTGGGAAATAAATTTATAGAGGAGGAGAGAATGTCTTTCGTACATAAATATAAGCAAATCCTGAATTAAGAAATGGATAACATCCTTGCTTCATTTTTAAAATAACAAGTACCACCTTGCTGAGATTTGTGGGTTTCCTGCAGTTACCTACACACTTATATACTTCATAAGCACAGTCTTCCCTGTATATGGGAGCTGGGCAGATTTTTGTTTCTATTGCTGCATAGTGTTTCAGTAATTTTGAAGTGCTGCAATGCAATACTTCTTCACTGATTAGATTTTGCATTTCACAGTGTGATTTCTATACAGTTTAGAAGAGAAACCCAAATCTCTTCATCCCAGCATGTTTATTCTGCCAAATACGTTATTGGGTGAGAAAAGTAGGAGAAAAAGATTAACGAGTGGCCCGTAGAGAATCCTAAATACAGGCAAGAGTTATGCTAAAGCATCTCGTTGTCAAACCTTGGTGAGTAACTACTGTACAGCCTGCCCTGAGCCAGTACCACATAGTAGCTTTTTCCATCCAGGATCAAGAGGATCAAGAGGATCAAGCCAGAGAATGCTTTTTTGCAAGCACTTTTTTTTTTTTTTTTTTTTTTTTTTTCCAAATAATGAGTTGTATCATGCAGCTATTTAATAAGGTGAGTCTTTAATTCTCTTATGAAACATGGACCAGCTCCCTGCCTGCCTTCCTGTTTTACCTGATTAGTGTGGTATTTTGGAGATGGAGAGATTGAATCCCTTAAGAAAATATTTGAAATGAAAGCATCTGAAAGAGGGTAACCTTGGCCTGGCCTGAAGTAGAGGCATTCATGTGCTCACCTGCAGAGAAGGTATCTAAGGTATCAGCCCTGGGGAGAAGAAAAATAGCTTTTAGTACATCTGGGAGAGGTGGCAGAAGGCTGGGAGAAGCTGAGATATAGAATTGTCTCGTTGAGCTCTAAGTCCCTGGCATGGGCAGGGTTGCCAAACACTAGACCAGGCTGCCCAGGGTCCCATCCAACCTGGCATTCTTGGTGATAAATTGGGTGTTGTTGACCCTCTGGGGCTCACCAGCTTGAGTTTCATCTGCATCATAAATTTTCATGTATCATGTAGTAGCCACACATCTCCCCTGGAGCAGAACAACAGACCTAAATAGTTGCTGCTTGCTGCCTACCCTTTTGTCCTTAGTCTCTGGGTCTTGGTCCTTCTGTAGCTCACCTAACATAGCTGCAGGTGGTGGCTGCCTCCTGTTCTGCACTAACCAACTTTGTTAAGCCAAGCAAGAGAATAAGAAGGAAGGGATTAACTTCATTAAGTAAAGCCTCTGATAATTTAACTCCTGTAATTAAATACTAATTATGTGATATTCATCTACGACTGGATGTTGAGTTCTGTAAGCAGTCTAGAGAACTGTGTGTGTTCTTTTGGCATTCTTCTTTCTCATGATGCTGCTGAAAGGAAGGCACACTATTCTTGGAGGGATGCACAGAGATGCTCTATTCTGTGGCTGTGTAGCATGTACAGAAGTGCTGCTTCAATGTTGTGGTCCAGTTCTCTGCAAATAGAAGGCTATGCAGAAAGCTGCTTAGAATGCATCTTTCATTCAAAACCATCTCACAAATCAGAGTAGTAAAAACCGTGTGTCTTTTTTTCTGTGTCTCTCAGTACAATTGAACAGATGAGCAAGATCCTACCTAGAAGAAATGTCACTGTGCTGGAACCTTACTCTCTGCTCGTATCCTGTTCTTACAAATAGGTATTAAAGTTCAGTAACAGGCAAGTGAATAAAGATAAACTCTTCAGCTGTGCAAGACAGCATTTTAGTCACCAGATAATTTGGAAAGACCCCACATGTTAAGTTTTTAGAGTTATTCTGCTAATATAAATTTTTAAACCTTCTTGCCTTTAAAAATGAGAACTGTGTCTGAGACATGCTTTTGTTCATTTTGATATAGATTCTTCTCTAATTTATGAAATTATGCTGTTGTATGTAGAGCCCAACTCAATTAGCTCCCTCAAATGGCTATTTTCCACTTGATCTAAGCTACATTCTGAGGTTACAGGCACAGAGCTCTCTAGCACTGTAATAATAGACTTTTTTTTGGCATCCTTCCTTTTCGATTTGATTAGTTTTTCCTTCAGCCATTAGCAAATATTTTTTCCTAGCTAAATCCTATTTCATGTTCTCCAGCTTTTTAAAATTCCTTTTCTTTGGTGTTTCTGACACATCCAAGTGAAGCGTCAATTGCAAGTTTAATTAACATATCCTCTGCTTTCTTATTTCATGTGAGTAATAACAGTGCTGAGCAAACATAAATCCAAAATCAGTCCCTTTGGTGTATCCTAAGCTCCTTTCACTGACCAGGTTTGACTTCATGGATTATTGTGACTATGGTGCTTTGTTTAAATCCCTTAGACACTCCTTTGACCTTGTAACAGAGTATGCATCTAGGCTGATTTTTTTTTTTCCAGGTGAAATCACTGTAGTCTCTGGCATTGGTTTTTAGCTCAAATCTGCCACTTGAATATGTGGACTGGAATGAACTTCATCCACAAACACTGAGTAGACAATCCCTTGAGAACAAGGAAATTTCCAGCTAACATAAACCTGAAAGGATCAGGCATTGCCTCAGCTGCATGCACTTTTGTGTGTCTTAAGGAGGGAGAGAGCAGAGAGAAACTCACAATACATAGCAGATCTTTGTTTTACTTCCTCAGCTAGTACAGAATAGGGATAAATGCAATAACCACATATTGTACTTTATCTGGCTATAGCAGCGAGTCTTTTCATCTCTCCTTTTAGATTCTCTTGAAAATGTCTTTTTTTTCCTGTTACCTCTGCTTAACTTTTTCAAGCTTTTTTCACTAAGAATACAATAGAAGTATTTTAATATATCATAATTACCTATTCACTCAGTAGAACATACAACTACCATGAATTTAATGTGCCTGGCCTAGTAGCCAATGGCTGCATAATTCTGCAGGCAAATTCTGTTTCCTGGAACTCGTTCAGTTATTCTATGAACTAAACTGGCAACTGGAAGTTAATAGCAGATATTAAGGCAGCATTGAGTATTTTGTACGCTGTTAACAACACATGCACATAAATTAGAATAATGGAATCACCAAGGTTGGACAAGACCTCCGAAATCATCCAGTCCAACTATCCATATATCACCAATATTTCCCACTAAACCATGTCCATCAGTACAACATCTAAACTCTTCTTGTACACCTCACCACCAGTGATCCCACTACCTTCCTCGGCAGCCCATTCCAGCACCTGAACACTCTTTTGGGGAAGAAATATTTTCTAATCTCCAATCTGAATCTCCCCTGGTGCAATTAGAAGACATTCTCTCTAGTTTTATTGCTAGTTACATGGGAAAAGAGGTCGACCCCCACCTAACCATAACTTCTCTTCAGGTAGTTGTCAAAAGCAACAAGGTCACTCTGAGCCTTCACTTCTCTAGTTTAAACAATCTCAGCTCTCTCGGCTGAATCTCATAAGGCTTGTGCTCCAGACCCCTCACCTGCTTGTAATTACATGTATTCAAAGACTGCCATTGGATCTTGCATTCTGGGCAGGACTTGTCTCACTGGGGTTGAGTTTCTCCAAGAAGTTGGTGTCTTCCTGAGCAACCTGCATTCAGATGGGAGGAAATACCACCCTGAGGTGCCATTCTCCCTCCATTGCCCTGAAGTCTCATTGTTGAGCAAGCTGATACTGTGGAGGTGAGGAGTAATCCCCATTTGTGATGGCTGTGGTAGTTGTTTCTGGATGAACAATTTCACAATAACTTCAGATTACTCACTTCCTAGGTTGTAAATGCCCAATAGTGGCTCTTTCCTAAGGCTGCCTATTCTCTTTGTTTACCACTGAATGTGTAAGACAATTCTAACAAAAAGCTGGAGGTTTAAATTCAAACCCTGGTTTAGAGATTTGCTTTACAAATGCTTAAACCTTCAAACCAAGGAATTGAAAGGTAAGACAGAGCCTTAAAGAAGCCCTGTGAAATAACTGTAAATAAGTTATTTTGCCACTTCTCTTGAAAACTCACATATGCATAACAGTGGTTCAAGCACAAATCCCAGGTAATAATATGAATTTCAACATCTGCATGAAAAAGGGGTATTATAATCCTTCTTTTTGCTGTTTTTTCTTCCCAGGCCCTCAGCACACAAAGCTCTCTGCCTCAGAAGCTGGGATGAAGAGATGAAGCCCTGAATCCCCTGTGGTCCTCGTTTTGCACACTACCGTACATCTCCTACATTTCTGTGATTTGCATTCCCCTGTGAAGCAGCCAAATGAATAAACATTAAACATGGAGACCGAAAGGGCAATATTCTTGCTAAAGAAGCTCTCTCTTTCAAAAATCAATGAGATAATATCCTTTTAAAGCTATTTCCAACTGTCGTCTCTCCTGATTTGGCTCTCTGGGAGTTGAAAATATTGAGGAGATTACTGACAGATTTAGCAATGGAGAGGTTCACCTTATTTCGATCTGATACTTTTAATGTCCTCTAATGCTTTGTCTATGCTGTGAAGCCAGACAAGAGGCCATCTCACTGCTTTTATTTGGTCAGGTGAAGCACTGGGTAACTGTGACTTTCTGGATTATTTTAGGGAGGACAGCCATGAAGCTGGCAGAAAGTCAGTGGTATCATGGAAAAGCATCTCATCTCCTGCAGGTTTGCCACCACTTTCTACTATCCAGCAGGGAGCAGCCTGAGCTTACCTCAGCAGAGCCCTGCTCCTGCTTAGCCCTTTTGGAAGAGCTGGAACATGCTCATATCCTTCCAGCTGCACAGAGGCACATCAGTGGCTGCTTAGAGCTCCAGCTTCACAGACCGTTATAGAAATAATAGTCCTCACAGGATCATTTCTAAATGACTTGTGAAAATAGATTGGGTACATTGAGTTCAGGCAAAAAACATCTTTTTTATAGGTTCTGTGCAAACAATCTGTTCCTTTGATACATCTTGCTACTGAGTTTCAAAGAAATCAAATTGATGAAGCTGTGAAGAAAGCAATTTGTTAAAAATTAAGCTTTCTTCTTGGGAGATTCAAGTTGAAAGAACATCTCTGTGGACTGTGCCTAATCAGAACCTTTGAACACTATCAGGCATGCCCCATTAGGGTTGCCAGCTTTCCAAAACAAATTACTTACTCTAATCCCTTGCCTGATGTATGCTGTAAAAGACAATAGTTCAGCTTGACAACACTGTCATTGCATGAGATTTATAGTGTGCAGCTGAGCAAACCTCAATTTATACTTTATATCACAAAGTGGCCATGAACCCCACTTCAAGACAAAGAGTATTATAACTATCAAACTTATTTAACATAACTTGCCAGGTTTTCAATGTCTCTGGTTCAGCTCTGTTAGCTTGAGCAGAATTGTACTGATTTATACCTGATGACAGTCTGGCCATAATAAATACTCCCTTCCTCCCCAGGGTCCAGAACTTGTAACAAGATCACTTGTTATCACTAGGAACTGTGAATGGACTAGGCAGCAGTGAAGAGAATAAATTCATTCACATGCACTGCAGTTGATTACATTTATTAAGTTGTAGTTGTGAGAGTTTTTAGCAGGAGTAAAACAGCATAGTCCCATGAAAGTAATGCAGTATTTCCATCCGTTCACTCCAGTTTTTGGAGTGCATCACTGTGTACTTAAGCTCGTTCCTTACACAATTATTTTCTTTATGTAATGAGCTTGGTCTTGTTTAATTCATTCTGTGACCTGTCACTTGTATCGTCACAAAGGCTTCATAATGTCATTAAAACATTCAATTGGATCATAAAATAATTCAGAATTAAATGAAGCACAGTAGCTTAAATTATTCTGTAACTTTCAGCTGTGCAAATGTAGTGAAGGAACTGTGTATTTGATAGTAATTGGAATAGAGTAAGTCATCTTCTAACAAAAAAAAAAAAAGCAGTTGGTATAATCATATTTTGTGCTAGATAAAGTGTCAGTGATACCATATGTCTTACAGAGACATATGAGAAAGGAATAATTCCTGTGGTATTAATTTTGATGAGCACAGATCAAGGTAGGTAACCATGTCCTGCACCAAGCTGAGTTGAAGGAGACAAATATCCAAAGAAACCAGGGATTCAGCTCTACCAAAATACAGATACCTCGCAAAAGTGGCCTGGCAGCTCTGGTGGTACCAATGGACGTGGAGGTCTTGGGATGCTTCTCAGCCTCTTGGGCCTTTGTTCTCTGAGAGGTTTGAACAGAACTGAGTTTAAGGTCCAGAGTTATCCCAAGTATTGGGGTGAGATTTCTCCCATGCTTCAAGCACAGTTCCTGCTCATGGATCAGAGTCTTTTCTAGAGCTTGAACTGTGAATTTGAACTGCATGCATCCCACCTCTGAGACAGTGCTTTGTTTGGACAGAACAAAAACTTCTTTTCTCTCTTTGAAGTGGGATTTAAGTGGCCTTGGACTACAGTTCTCTATGCCACTCTCAGAAGAGAACTCTCAGAAAACTATTTGCTGGTTACTGTACACTTGAGGCAATTTAAGATTTCTTGGTTTAGGTGCCAACAGTGCTACCAAGCATTTTTACCTCTAGTTCTTCTTTCTGTGTTTCCTTTTCCTTCTCTCTCCAACAGAAAAATCATCTTTAAGGAAGAAGGAGTCTTCATTTGCAACATCAAAGACAAAAATATAAACAGTCCACACGTATCATGTCATGTTTTCTTCCCAAACTTCATTTTGCAGCCAAATATGGTTATAGAAATGAATTTGAATGTTAGAAAAGGTAATAGTGAAAGCTTTTTAAAGGTTTATGTAGGAATGTTGCTAGGATGGAAAACAGAGACAGTGCTTCTTCTTCCAGAAAACTATTAGATGTGAACAAAATGCTGTTGGTCCTGGAGAGCTTTAGGCTTAGTAGGAACAGCAAAATTTCTGAAACATTAGCATTCTGAACATTACCCTTACAGCTGTGTCATGTTTTTGTTCCTGTTCACTTATTAATCACTGCAGTTTTCAATACTTTGTCTACTAAACATACAAGGATCTGATCAGCTCTCTATCTTGTATGTCAGTATTTCTAGTGCAAACTCTCTAGCTTTATAATTTTTGCTTGACATCATGGTAAATGTGTGGTTCATTTCCCTTGAAGTGAGATGCCCTCTGCAATGCTTCCATACACTCTGAAATCTAGAAAACAGAAAATTTCTTCAGGTTAAGTTTTGCAAAAACCTTACTTTTGGCCTCATTTGACTACAGTTAAAATGGTAATGAGAAGACAGTTGGACTAGATGATCTTACACATCGTTTCCAACCTTGTGATTCTGTGGTTCTATGATTCTATGAAAATCAAAGAAACTTTGCTACCAATATCATACAAACAAAATAACCAAAATCTTACACTTCTAAAAATGGCAGTCTCTTAAATATATCTTTGTTTTGCACTAAATGTTTTTGAATTAAATATTCTTATGTCTCTTTAAGGAAGAAAATCTTTTCCCTCTCTTTCCTTGGAAGGAATAACATTGTACTTATAATAAAGTTTGCTGTCATGATAACTTAATTGAGGCAATAAGTCTTTGCAATCTTTGTGCTGGTTTATAAAGCAGTGACATTTTCCTTTCCTTTAAAAATTAAAATGTAGAGCTAGTCTGGATATTGAAATGACAGTTCTGTTCTTTGCATATGCACCTATGTATTTTCCACCTATGATGCTTGCACTGTGGAGGGAAAAGAAATGGATAGATTATAATTATGACAAATTGTGCTAGTACACTTTTCCTATTGTCTTCTCTTTACAATAAAGAAACCGTTCTTTCCATGGAAAAGTTTTTGGAATTCAGACAAATCACTGTTGCAAGTGAGCAGATGCTGATGTGGACAATAAGATAGGCTGAGGTCAAAGCCCAAATGAAGGGCTAGTGTCCTGTCATCCTGCTGAGCTAAAATGAAAGCTCAGCAATATACATAGTATGTTGGAGGAAGATCTCAAGAGTTTCCAGGTTTAAGTATATATGTTGAAAGCAGTTCTCTCACTTTCATGTATTTTTGAACCTTCCTGCACCTCTTTCCTTCAGGTGTTAGACCTTTCATTCCTTTTGGTACTTCTGTAGACATTAAAATTGGCTCTGATGTCACCGTTCACATTGTTGAGGACCAGAATTTTAAAGGGTTGAATGGAAAACATTAATGGTAAGATGCAAACCTTGAGAAAGTAAGGCTAGAGTACTGAACAAATTATCCCAATTTAGGCTGCATTTTCTCATGAGTTTCTTTGACTTTCTGGTGACAATAGATATAAGTTTTAGGATTTGACTTTTGATTGTAACTGAGTGAAAAGGAGCAGGAAATTTTCAACACAAGTGACAAGAGGCAAAAATCTCATGCTCTAAACAGATAAATTTCACAAATTGTATTCACTTTAATTCATGATGTAATAAATATCAACAATAAATTATTCTACCCTCCCCCCAAAAAAAACCACCCAGAACACTGGGATGGCTATCAGTGTTTATCCATGCTCCATAGACACACAAAACTCTTGCATATTGGAAAAGCCAATAGTACCTAAATTGATGGCTGCCTATTCAAGACATCTCATTTATTATAGTAGATGTGATACAGACAAATAAAAGAATGACCCTAAGGAGACTGCTATGTGAAGAAGAATAGGAGGATAATGAGGTCAGATAAAACGTCTGGATCTCATTAATCCCAAAGAGCTAAGAGAGCTTTCAGTGACAGTACAGCAAAGATGGTGAAGCGTGATGAAGGAGCCCATACTGACATCACTGTTACCTGGTAACCCAAACCTAAAGAAATCTCCATCTCTTCTTTGTAAATGGCCAAAAAAAGCACAAGGATGCTTGGTAGTACACCTGCAGGCAAACGCTCTATTTACTGCATAAATACGGGTTTGAGTCAATGAGGTGTTAGTCTCTTTCACTTTCTCTTAGCAAGTTGCTTGCCTAACATCTCACCTATGTATCCATTCTTGCAAACATAGCCCCTTTCAATATGGAAAACAGCTGATTTCTATCTTTCAGAATAACCTTTTGTATTATGATAGCTTGTTACCTCCATGTAGGCCCCATACATCACTTCTTGATTAAACAAACCTAGGTCTTATTATTTTCCTATAGGGCTTATGCTTTTTTTTTTTTTTTTTTATCAGGATCTCTATTTTGCTGCTCTTTTCACACGTGGTGACCCATTAAAACATTTAGATTCTTTACAGCCATGCTATGATCTAGCTGGCTATTCTCCATTTTTTAATTTTCCATCCTAAATACAGCATCTGTATTGTATTTAATCTTATTGATTTCAGGTCATTTATCCAATTTATTGTGATCATTTTGAAGTCTAATCCCGTCTTCAAAAATTCTCATGAGCTTTCCAGTAGGATGTCATCCACAAATTTTATATGTGTAATCTCCATTTCATGATCCAAGTCATTTATAAAAATATTGAATAACAATAGGCATAGGACAGGCTCCTGTGGGGCCCACATGATGTGACCTTCCAGCTTGACAGCAGGCTATTGATAACTACTCTTTGCATAAGCTTTTTCAGGCATTTGTGTATCAGCTTTGTAGTGATTTTGTCTAGATGATAATCCTTCATATGTCTGACTCCAACCCTCTACAGAAGCTCATTGTATTGTATCTACTTCACTGCAACAAATCTCTCTCTAATTACCTGATCTATTGAGACTGCCCTTTCTTGTCAATGCCTCTTTCTAAGCAGGAAAATATGTCTTTTCTTTATTTACACTTTCTTATACTCTGTTTTCAGACTTGGGCACTGCTGATTTTCATTTTTCTTCTTCAGCATCAGCAGCAGGGGGAGATCTGGCTTTCTGTTTTGCCTCTGGAGATCTACATGGTCTTTTCTCTTTATTTTTTCAACAATCATGTCCCCTTAAGTATCTTCCTCCTGTTTCCAATGCCAGATATAAACCTTTCAAGAAATGGTGTAATTCCCAGGTTTAATTAATAAATTGGCAGAACACTAAAGCTTTTTTCATTGGTGATAAGCCACTGTATGGTGGAACAAAACAAAAACTAAAATAATACCCAACATACATTCAGGTATAAAATAGTGCCACTGATTTGCTTGATCTTCATGTTATTAGTAACCTATATATTCAAGCAGCCTTCAGCCTCATTAGCAGAGTTGGTTTGAAGTATGAGAT